GCAGGAGGCCCGAGATAAGGGAGAGAGAAGGGGCACTAGGTGGGTTTGGACTGAAGCTGATCCCTGCAAAAGCGTGACAGGGGGACAGCAGGGGGCCACACAGGGGGGAGGGGCCAATGAGAGGGGCGCGTAGACCACGAACTTCTGCCTTGAAAACCTCCACGGGCTCCGTGGTGACCCCCTTGGGAGCCCCTCCCCATGTGGGAGCTGGTATTTGCTTCCAATTCATTTCCACCTTTTACTAACCAGCTTGTTCTTCAAACTTGGGGAGGCAAAACCCACAGGCAGAATCCGCTCCCCAAACCCCACGTGTCACGGGGTCCCCGAGCCCCAGAAAACCCCCCTGGTCCCCTGGGAGGCGTCCCTCCCCACACCTGCCCTCTGTCGGGGTCCCCCCTCAGCGGGTCCCTGGGCCCAGCCAGTCTGACACAGAGGAACTGTCAGAGGTGGGGGGCCTCTCTTCTCCCCTCTGTGCTAACGTTCGGTGATTTCCATTTAAACGAAATCATCTTTTGTTCCCATGTTTCCTTATATTAGAACTGCTTCCTCCCTGATGGCCCTGAGGGAGCTTTGCCGTGGATCCCAGTGTGTGCGTGTGCGTGTGCGTCCCACCAGCTGGGCTTCCTCCCATCAGCTCAGGCTCCCAGGTGAGGGCTCGTCCCTCGGACGCCATCCCCAGCCCGTGTGCCCACCTGGCATGAGGCAGGTCCCCCCAGCCCGCTCTGTGGGCTCCAGGAACTTGCTGGAACCCCTCACAGAACTGAAACATGGACCTTCCCCATCACGCTCCCTGGGAAAGGGCGTTGCAGGAACAGGCGGGGGGGAAGGGCGGGGCTCCTCTGCCCCCCCCACCCCAGTCCCTCTCCGCGCCCCAGCCCGCCAGCCCGAGCTCCACCCTCCGTCCTGGGCCTCACCCCACAGGCAGGGCTGATGACCCACTGGGCACTGGGGATGGACCCCCTCCAGGCCCTGCCCCTCTCCCTGAGGTCAGGGGTGGGGACGGACCCCCTCCAGGCCCTGCCCCCCCTCCCTGAGGTCAGGGGTGGGGACGGTCCCCCTCCAGCCCCTGCCTCTCTCCCTGAGGTCAGGGGTGGGGATGGGTCTCTTGCCCAGGCCTCTCCTCAGGTGCCTCCCAGAGACCAGGTGCGGAGGGAGGGGCTGGCTGGTCAGGGATAAGGAGACCCATCTCCCCTCCAGGCCCTGCAGCCGCTGCCCCGAGGGCTCAGGAACTCCAGGTCCCTGGGCCGCACACGCGTCTCTGCTCCCCTCAGGCCTGGTTCCCCGGGGCCACCACCTGCAGGAGGCCCACAGGCAGCCGTGCAGCTTTCCCCGCCCGCCCGGACACCCCACACCCCTCCTGTCTGGCCATCCGCCCGAGAATCAGGGCCCGGGCTCGAGGCCGGGTTTCCCGTGACCTCTGCTTTGCTGGGTCCCGCAGTTTCTCTACATAAAGTTTCTAGGTTCTTTGTAGCCAGACTTGAAAGATGGAGAGAGAAACGGGGCACATGGAGGTGTGTCCCGAGACCCAGGGCCTCAGGACAGAGCTGCCCACCCGCAGCCCCCGGCCCCAATTCCGATTTCTGTCACCAGGGATCCCCACACGAAGCCCTTGCTTCTTTCCTTTTGTGTAACAAGCCCACGGAGCTCTCAGGACAGGGCCCGACTCCCGGCTTAGCCGCTCTGGGTAACGGCACATGCAGTTGAGATAAAAACAACAGCAAAGCCGGGCCGGCCTGGCTCAGGGGTTGAGGGTCGACCTAGGAACCAGGACGTCAGGGTTCGGTTCCGGGCGGGGCACAGGCCTGGGTTGCAGGCTCGATCCCCACTGTGGGGCGAGCAGGAGGCAGCCGACCCATGACTCGCTCTCATTCATGTTTCTCGCTCTCTCTCTCCCTCGCCTGCCTCACAGGTCACGGCTTCTCTCCTGAAGCCAGAGCTCGGGGTGAAGACCACACGTCGCTGAGGCATGCGGACACTTGTACGTTTTATTTAGGTTAATCAGCCATGGTACACGGTCTGCAGCTATGTGTGGTTAGTGGTGTACTTTCCCCATTAACTGGTACATGCCTCATAGATATATTCAATTAGGGTTATCGCCATGGGAACAAGATGCTGATTCGTCAACTGAAAATGCACTTCTTCTCACAGGATTCAAGTTTTCTGATCACACAGCAAGATTCAAAACAAAGGTAAGAACGTCACACAGACGCCACCTGCACTGCAAGTTACACAACAGCCACGCTTTCTCCACTCAGGGAGGGTCCGAGGGCGCCGTCTGCCCACCGGCTGCTGGACGAAGCTTCCTCCTGCCCAGAGGCCCCACGCCGGGCACTGGGGTCAGGCCTGGTTGTGACACTCCCGCCCAGGAAACCCTCGGGGTGACGCTCCCCAAACGCCGCGCTGGCACTGGTCCTCGTCGTGACCTTGGGAGCAGGGACTCATTTCTGCTCGACAGGAAAAGACCGGCTGGAACCGGGAAGGGCTCCATCCGCGAGGAGAGAGCCGGGTCTGTTTTAAGTCATCTCTGTTGGATACACTTCTCTTTCATAGATAACTGATCCAGAGATGCTCTGTGCATAGGAATATACTTGCAATAGGCCAGGGCATGAGGACGGCCGCCCGCCCTCTGAAACGCACACCCAGAGAGGCGCACACAGGCACCCCCTGGTTCCCAAGGGAGTCTGGATTTCAAATAAATAAACCCCAAATTTCAACCAAAACGAAACTGGTGAGGATGCCTCCATCTCTCCTGTGAGCTCACCGCCCCGGGGAGGGAGTGGAAACCGCCACCTCACGGGAAGAGGGTCCGACTTGGGAGGGTTTCAGATGCGACATGCAGGCGTCAGTGGAGAGTGAACGGGAGAGAGAGGAGGGAGCCACTCCCCCACGGCGAGGAGTCTGGTCTGTGTGTCGTGGGCAGATCCTGTTCCCAAGGTTGTATCTACGGAGCCGCGGCCGGAGGAGGGGCCACGGGTAAGACAGCGCGGTTTGCTCAGCAGCAATGAGATCTGGAGACTACAGCGTTACAGCTCGTCGATACCCTGCCAACGTGTCCGAAATCAAAGACCTGAAGACGCTAGGAGGCCCCGGGCAGCTGCTAGCACCTGGACGCCCTGCTCCCTGCCTGCCTGGGGCCGCGGCCGGGGGCTCCCAGGCCATGGCTGTGCTGGCGGCAGGACGGGTGGTCGAAGGTGCCTCTCCTGCAGCGGCCGGGCGTGCTGTCCTCCGGTTGTGTCCGCAACCCCTGAACTTGCCATGTCCAGCGCTTCCAGGGCCCCTGCTCCCGGTGCCCACGTGGTGACCCCAGGCAGTGGCTCTCACCCACCGTGTGCTCATCTGAGCGTTTTCTAAGTACATGGTACCCGGACGCCCTTGCGGGACGCCTGTTGCCTGCTGTCACGGGAGAGTCTGTGGGAGCCCGAGGCCGAGGGCCCCCATGGGGCTGGGCGAAGTGGAGGAGGGTGAGCGCCAGTTCCCAGGGCAGCCGGAGGCCAGGAGCCGGGACCCAGCACCGGGGAGGAGGCTCTCTTTGGTCACAAATTAGCTGACAGTTAAGGGGACACTAACCAGGGAGCGTGTGCTCAGCGTGGGGGGGGGGGCAGGCAGGTGTCTCACAATCGGCGCCGTGGGCTGAGGGTCTGGGGAGCCGGCCTCACGTGGCCTCCTGCTCCACGTCGTCCCCGCACAAGTGCCGCAGGAGCTGCTGGAGGTCGCGCTGGAGGTCGTCCCGCTGCAGGGCCTCGGGCACATCCTCCAGGGACTCCAGGTGCACGCGCTTCCCACGCCGGTCCCTCACCACGGCCCGCTTCTGTGTGCGGGCCTTACGGAGCGTCGTCCTGGGAGAAGACCACACAGGGTTAGGCCCTGCTCTGCGGACTCACCGCCCATCACTCCGCACTGGCTCAGGGGTGCGGCTCATTCCAAGAGTGACCCCATGTAGACAGGCTGGGGAAAACCACGTGAAACGCACTCAAAGCTCCGTGGCTTCAGCTTAACCTCACGGGCTGTGAGGTGCTACTGCGGTGGCTGCGTTACTATCCCGACCCCGAGTGAAAACGATGCCATGTGACCAGTTCAGTCTCAGGCCTCACCGTCTACGTGTAAATGCATGCCTGCACCTCACAGTGTCTGAGCGTGTTTCATGTGCAGGCCTCACCGTCTACGTGTAAATGCACGTCTGCACCCCACAGCGCGTCGGAGCGTGTTTCATGTGCAGGCCTCACCGTCTACGTGTAAATGCACGTCTGCACCCCACAGCGCGTCGGAGCGTGTTTCATGTGCAGGCCTCACCGTCTACGTGTAAATGCACGTCTGCACCCCACAGCGCGTCGGAGCGTGTTTCATGTGCAGGCCTCACCGTCTACGTGTAAATGCACGTCTGCACCCCACAGCGCGTCGGAGCGTGTTTCATGTGCAGGCCTCACCGTCTACGTGTAAATGCACGTCTGCACCCCACAGCGCGTCGGAGCGTGTTTCATGTGCAGGCCTCACCGTCTACGTGTAAATGCACGTCTGCACCCCACAGCGTGTCTGAGCGTGTTTCATGTGCAGGTCTCACCATCTACATGTAAGTGCACATCTGTACCCCACAGCGTGCTCGGAGCGTGTTTCATGTGCAGGCCTCACCGTCTACGTGTAAGTGCACGTCAGTACCCCACAGTGTGTCTGAGCGTGTTTCATGTGCAGGCCTCACCGTCTACGCGTAAATGCACGTCTGCACCCCACAGTGTGTTTGAGCGTGTTTCATGTGCCAGGCCTCACCATCTACATGTAAGTGCACGTCTGCACCCCACAGTGTGTCGGAGCGTGTTTCATGTGCAGGCCTCACCGTCTACATGTAAGTGCACGCCTGCACCTCACAGTGTGTCTGAGCATGTTTCATGTGCAGGCCTCACCATCTACATGTAAGTGCACGTCTGCACCCCACAGTGTGTCTGAGCGTGTTTCATGTGCCAGGCCTCACCATCTACATGTAAGTGCACGTCTGCACCCCACAGTGTGTCTGAGCGTGTTTCATGTGCCAGGCCTCACCATCTACGTGTAAATGCACATCTGCACCCCACAGCGTGCTCGGAGCATGTTTCATGTGCCAGGCCTCACCATCTACATGTAAGTGCACGTCTGCACCCCACAGTGTGTCTGAGCGTGTTTCATGTGCCAGGCCTCACCATCTACGTGTAAATGCACATCTGCACCCCACAGCGTGCTCGGAGCATGTTTCATGTGCCAGGCCTCACCATCTACATGTAAATGCACATCTGCACCCCACAGCGTGCTCGGAGCATGTTTCATGTGCCAGGCCTCACCATCTACATGTAAATGCACGTCTGTGCCCCACAGCATGCCCAGAGCGTGTTTCATGTGCCAGGTGCTATTATTGTAGCGACAAAGAAGGAAGCTGAGTCCCAGGGAATCTAAGCGATGCTCCAAGTAAAACCACAGGCAGGTCCGGAAGGGCCGAGTCCAGGACCCCGCGCCTGAGCCGGGGGAGCCCTGCTCACAGGCCTCACAGGGACCGTGTGGGGCGGCTGGTTGGTGGGCGCCACCAGCACTGTCCTCACAGATTCCCAGTGTCCAGAACAGGGGGTCTGCCCTCCGCGACGTTCTCAGCACCTGCCTGGCACCTCGATGCGTCTAAGACCACCTGGAGCCTGGGGCTCCTGGGCCCCTCGCCCCTCCTCCTGCCATCTCTCCTCCCCCCTGACGGGAGCTGTTTTCCCTCTGCGAGCACCTGCAGTTGGTTCCTCCTGATGAAAAGGCCACATCAGGTTCCAAAGGTGGAGACCACGATTTCCTATCTACTCAGCACCTGCATTGCTTTTTCTCCAAAAAGGCAACTGCCTGACTCTGCCAGGAGCTCGCAGAGGCCTGTGTGGGTTGGTGTTGGGGACGGTGTCCATCCCAGGCTATTCCCTAAAGGTCGGTGCCGCACGTGGGACGAAGGTGCTATGGCCTCGTGCGTGTCCCCTGGGGGGACGGATTCACTCTGCCCCGGGGCCGAGGGGACATCCCGATGGGGTGAACGCGCCTGGCGAGTCGGGACCCAGGCCCACAGGCTGTCCGCATCCTGGCGGACGCACGCGCTGCAGTGAGGACTGGGGAGGAGCTGGTCTGGAACCCACGCCCAGGGGCCCTCCTGAGCGGGCTGTGAGCTACAGCTCCTCTGGGTGGCCCAGGAGCACCGAGTGCGGACACAGGCATCCCCCGTGTCGCAGGGGCGTGAGCTGTGTGAGCGTCACACGCGTCAGCTCTCACTGCGGCTGCTCTCCGTGTGCTCGAAGGGGACCGACAGAGCCCTTCCCTCACCAGCTCTCACGTGTGCCCCTCGCGGACAGCTTTCCCTTCTGTGCGGGAAGGGAGGCGCACAACAGGACTTGTGCCCACGGGGACTGTGCTGCGAACCCGAGCCACGTGCTCCGTGCTCACAGGGCTGCGTGGGCAGAGCCCAAGGCAAGGCGCCAGCGACCACACGGCAAGTCGTGAGGATGCCACGCGGGCGCCGCGCAGTGAGGCCCCTCCACAGGCGCACATGGGCCCACAAGGCTGCACATGGCTGCTCACACTTCCCGAGCTGACTGAGGCGCCGGCTTCAGCGTCGCCAGGCACTCAGGCCCACGGCCCCACATGCAGAAGCAGGACCAGCTCGCTCACACGCAGCACGTGCTGTTAAAGGACCATGTCCCGAGACTGAGCTGCAGGCAGTGCACACGGCAAGCAACCTACGAGCCACTGACCAGGCTCTCCCCATGCCCGACCTGTCGGCACGGACGCCCACTGCTGGCCTCCACGGAGCAGGGGTGGCCGTGGGGACAGGCTTCCACGTCCTCACACCTGGTGTCACCTGACTCCCTGACCCCGGAAGCTTTGGGGTGTGGCCCCATTTGTTTTCTTAAGTTGGAACAGGGTTAGTTGGCAAGGAGCACCCCGTGCTACCCAAACCTTTTCACGACTGATCCGTCCTCTCTCAGGACTTCCTCCTCCACTAAGCTGGGAGCGTGGACTTTCTCGTGGCTGCCCGTGTAACTCAGAGCCTGAGGGAGACACCGAGACGTCACCACGCGGACCCGGGCACGAGGCTCCGCACAGTCACAGCCGAGGAACAGACACACGGGACTTCGGGGAGATGAGACGCACGCTTGGAGCAGATGAGCACGAGTTTCACTACCCCCCCCCCCCCACCCCCATGCGGCTTCATCACCTTCCTTCCTTCATAAAGGTTCACCAGCATCCATCCTGCCACGGCTTAGCTGCCTGCTCTCCCCACCCTCCCCTCCCCACCCTGCCCTGGCCTTTCCAGGAGTCTCCGTGCGCACTGCAGGCGCGAGGAGATCACAGGTCATGTTCAACGCAACAGCAATAAACGTCTAGCACCTCCCCCAGTCACACCCGCGGGGCAGCGGGTCCGGAACACGGCGCCCTTCGTCTTGGATGGGGGAGGTACTGGGCACCCTGTCGGCCCTCACACCGGGCCGGGCCTCCAGGGCCAAGAGGCGTCGCGTGGGCTCCCAGGAAGCCCAATGCCCTTCAGCCACCGACCCACAGCTCGCTGATTCCCGACAGTTTGCGTTTTGGAATCGGAGTGAAGGTTGTGTCCCTGCCACTGGGGACCCGATTCCTAACGCCTGGAAGTCAGAGCTTAGCTATGGCGCTTGTGCCCGTCTCTGGGCGCATCCAGGACCATTCCTGACAGGGACCGAGCCTCTCGAGTTCTCCCCTCACTGATGGGTGAGGAGTGCACGTCACTGATGGTGTTGGGGGGACACATCACTGATGGTGTGGGGGGCACATCACTGATACTGTTAGGGGGTGGGGGGCACGTCGCTGATGGGTGTGGGGGGCACGTCGCTGATGGGTGTGGGGGGCACGTCGCTGATGGGTGTGGGGGGCACGTCGCTGATGGGTGTGGGGGGCACGTCGCTGATGGGTGTGGGGGGCACGTCGCTGATGGGTGTGGGGGGCACGTCGCTGATGGGTGTGGGGGGCACGTCGCTGATGGGTGTGGGGGGCACGTCGCTGATGGGTGTGGGGGGCACGTCGCTGATGGGTGTGGGGGGCACGTCGCTGATGGGTGTGGGGGGCACGTCGCTGATGGGTGTGGGGGGCACGTCGCTGATGGGTGTGGGGGGCACGTCGCTGATGGGTGTGGGGGGCACGTCGCTGATGGGTGTGGGGGGCACGTCGCTGATGGGTGTGGGGGGCACGTCGCTGATGGGTGTGGGGGGCACGTCGCTGATGGGTGTGGGGGGCACGTCGCTGATGGGTGTGGGGGGCACGTCGCTGATGGGTGTGGGGGGCACGTCGCTGATGGGTGTGGGGGGCACGTCGCTGATGGGTGTGGGGGGCACGTCGCTGATGGGTGTGGGGGGCACGTCGCTGATGGGTGTGGGGGGCACGTCGCTGATGGGTGTGGGGGGCACGTCGCTGATGGGTGTGGGGGGCACGTCGCTGATGGGTGTGGGGGGCACGTCGCTGATGGGTGTGGGGGGCACGTCGCTGATGGGTGTGGGGGGCACGTCGCTGATGGGTGTGGGGGGCACGTCGCTGATGGGTGTGGGGGGCACGTCGCTGATGGGTGTGGGGGGCACGTCGCTGATGGGTGTGGGGGGCACGTCGCTGATGGGTGTGGGGGGCACGTCGCTGATGGGTGTGGGGGGCACGTCGCTGATGGGTGTGGGGGGCACGTCGCTGATGGGTGTGGGGGGCACGTCGCTGATGGGTGTGGGGGGCACGTCGCTGATGGGTGTGGGGGGCACGTCGCTGATGGGTGTGGGGGGCACGTCGCTGATGGGTGTGGGGGGCACGTCGCTGATGGGTGTGGGGGGCACGTCGCTGATGGGTGTGGGGGGCACGTCGCTGATGGGTGTGGGGGGCACGTCGCTGATGGGTGTGGGGGGCACGTCGCTGATGGGTGTGGGGGGCACGTCGCTGATGGGTGTGGGGGGCACGTCGCTGATGGGTGTGGGGGGCACGTCGCTGATGGGTGTGGGGGGCACGTCGCTGATGGGTGTGGGGGGCACGTCGCTGATGGGTGTGGGGGGCACGTCGCTGATGGGTGTGGGGGGCACGTCGCTGATGGGTGTGGGGGGCACGTCGCTGATGGGTGTGGGGGGCACGTCGCTGATGGGTGTGGGGGGCACGTCGCTGATGGGTGTGGGGGGCACGTCGCTGATGGGTGTGGGGGGCACGTCGCTGATGGGTGTGGGGGGCACGTCGCTGATGGGTGTGGGGGGCACGTCGCTGATGGGTGTGGGGGGCACGTCGCTGATGGGTGTGGGGGGCACGTCGCTGATGGGTGTGGGGGGCACGTCGCTGATGGGTGTGGGGGGCACGTCGCTGATGGGTGTGGGGGGCACGTCGCTGATGGGTGTGGGGGGCACGTCGCTGATGGGTGTGGGGGGCACGTCGCTGATGGGTGTGGGGGGCACGTCGCTGATGGGTGTGGGGGGCACGTCGCTGATGGGTGTGGGGGGCACGTCGCTGATGGGTGTGGGGGGCACGTCGCTGATGGGTGTGGGGGGCACGTCGCTGATGGGTGTGGGGGGCACGTCGCTGATGGGTGTGGGGGGCACGTCGCTGATGGGTGTGGGGGGCACGTCGCTGATGGGTGTGGGGGGCACGTCGCTGATGGGTGTGGGGGGCACGTCGCTGATGGGTGTGGGGGGCACGTCGCTGATGGGTGTGGGGGGCACGTCGCTGATGGGTGTGGGGGGCACGTCGCTGATGGGTGTGGGGGGCACGTCGCTGATGGGTGTGGGGGGCACGTCGCTGATGGGTGTGGGGGGCACGTCGCTGATGGGTGTGGGGGGCACGTCGCTGATGGGTGTGGGGGGCACGTCGCTGATGGGTGTGGGGGGCACGTCGCTGATGGGTGTGGGGGGCACGTCGCTGATGGGTGTGGGGGGCACGTCGCTGATGGGTGTGGGGGGCACGTCGCTGATGGGTGTGGGGGGCACGTCGCTGATGGGTGTGGGGGGCACGTCGCTGATGGGTGTGGGGGGCACGTCGCTGATGGGTGTGGGGGGCACGTCGCTGATGGGTGTGGGGGGCACGTCGCTGATGGGTGTGGGGGGCACGTCGCTGATGGGTGTGGGGGGCACGTCGCTGATGGGTGTGGGGGGCACGTCGCTGATGGGTGTGGGGGGCACGTCGCTGATGGGTGTGGGGGGCACGTCGCTGATGGGTGTGGGGGGCACGTCGCTGATGGGTGTGGGGGGCACGTCGCTGATGGGTGTGGGGGGCACGTCGCTGATGGGTGTGGGGGGCACGTCGCTGATGGGTGTGGGGGGCACGTCGCTGATGGGTGTGGGGGGCACGTCGCTGATGGGTGTGGGGGGCACGTCGCTGATGGGTGTGGGGGGCACGTCGCTGATGGGTGTGGGGGGCACGTCGCTGATGGGTGTGGGGGGCACGTCGCTGATGGGTGTGGGGGGCACGTCGCTGATGGGTGTGGGGGGCACGTCGCTGATGGGTGTGGGGGGCACGTCGCTGATGGGTGTGGGGGGCACGTCGCTGATGGGTGTGGGGGGCACGTCGCTGATGGGTGTGGGGGGCACGTCGCTGATGGGTGTGGGGGGCACGTCGCTGATGGGTGTGGGGGGCACGTCGCTGATGGGTGTGGGGGGCACGTCGCTGATGGGTGTGGGGGGCACGTCGCTGATGGGTGTGGGGGGTACGTCGCTGATGGGGTGGGGGGCACGTCGTGTCTGTGTGGCCCATGAGCTCAGGATACGGATGCTGAGTCAGTGGCACCCCTGGCATCGGCTGTGAGAAGCTCTGAGGTGGCGGACGAGCCCGAGGCAGAGGAGCCCTCACTGCACAGGCCCCTGGTCAGGCTCCTCGCTGGCCTTTCTGTGCCCGAGAGGACATATGAGAAGGACACATGGACAAGCCTTTCCTTACAGACATGGCCACGGCCGCGTGGGGCTGCTCCTGTACCTGCTCGAAGTCATCTTTGGCCGAGGGAAGGTCAGGGGCGACACGGGGGTCCCCCAGATGCTTCTCCATCCTCTCTCCACGCACCACCGTTGTTTTGACGACTTTGCTGACACGGCGGCCCTCCACGGGCTCCGCCTGGAACTGCGAGGCCTCGCACAGGGCGCCGGGCTCGGACACGGCCACCTAACGGGCAGGGACACAAACACAGCTTCTGAGGCCAAGGTCACTGCGGGGCATTGCTCTACAAGGAAGCCCGCCCGCAAGGGCTGCAGAGCTCCCCCGGGTTCCAGACACGGAACTTCGGGCAGAGCAGCAGCTGGGAACGAGCCCGTCAGCACCGGTGTTGTCCCTGCGGGGGCTCTGTGCGCTCGGCCCTCTAACCCTCGTGAGTCCCTCAGAGGCCCGTCGGGAGTCCGGTGAGGCGTGCAGTGGGGACCCCCACCCGCGCCGGCTCTGCCCCGTGGAAATGGTGGCTCTGCATCCTGACGGTCACGCGGCCCAGGAGGGAACGCTCCGGATGCGAGGAGCCGCAGGCCCGACTCCAGAGCACCGCCCGGGGGTCACGACAGACGCATGAGCGTGCGGAGGAAGCAGAGCGGGACGCACAGGCGTGTGTCAGAGAGAAGGGGCCCCTTCGAGGGCAGCCGAGCTGCCCAGGTCCTGGCTGGGCTCCGAGACGCAGCGTCTGCTGTGGGCACCGCACACAGGCCTCCCCGCACACTGCCCCCTGCACGTAAGGCAGCCCTGGGCCTGACGTGGTCCTGCTGTGGCCCATACGGACTGAAGAGCCACAGGGATGGGAGGACCACAGCAAGCATTGGGCACGCGTGCCCCTGGCGGCTGGCTGCAAGCTCTGGCTCACCGTGGAGGCGAGTGAGTGCCGCCGAGGCCTGCGAGAGGGAGCATCACCTTGGCCAGGTCCCACTCGCACCCCATGTCACACCCCACGCCACACATCGGTGTCACACTCCACACACGTCCACGCCAAACACCAGTGTCACACTCCACACAGGTCCACGTCACACATCAGTGTCATTCTCCACACACGTCCACGCCAAACACCAGTGTCACACTCCACACAGGTCCACGTCACACATCAGTGTCATTCTCCACACACGTCCACGCCAAACACCAGTGTCACACTCCACACAGGTCCACGTCACACATCAGTGTCATTCTCCACACACGTCCACGCCAAACACCAGTGTCACACTCCACACAGGTCCACGTCACACATCAGTGTCATTCTCCACACACGTCCACGCCAAACACCAGTGTCACACTCCACACAGGTCCACGTCACACATCAGTGTCATTCTCCACACACGTCCACGCCAAACACCAGTGTCACACTCCACACAGGTCCACGTCACACATCAGTGTCATTCTCCACACACGTCCACGCCAAACACCAGTGTCACACTCCACACAGGTCCACGTCACACATCAGTGTCATTCTCCACACACGTCCACGCCAAACACCAGTGTCACACTCCACACAGGTCCACGTCACACATCAGTGTCATTCTCCACACACGTCCACGCCAAACACCAGTGTCACACTCCACACAGGTCCACGTCACACATCAGTGTCATTCTCCACACACGTCCACGCCAAACACCAGTGTCACACTCCACACAGGTCCACGTCACACATCAGTGTCATTCTCCACACACGTCCACGCCAAACACCAGTGTCACACTCCACACAGGTCCACGTCACACATCAGTGTCATTCTCCACACACGTCCACGCCAAACACCAGTGTCACACTCCACACAGGTCCACGTCACACATCAGTGTCATTCTCCACACACGTCCACGCCAAACACCAGTGTCACACTCCACACAGGTCCACGTCACACATCAGTGTCATTCTCCACACACGTCCACGCCAAACACCAGTGTCACACTCCACACAGGTCCACGTCACACATCAGTGTCATTCTCCACACACGTCCACGCCAAACACCAGTGTCACACTCCACACAGGTCCACGTCACACATCAGTGTCATTCTCCACACACGTCCACGCCAAACACCAGTGTCACACTCCACACAGGTCCACGTCACACATCAGTGTCATTCTCCACACACGTCCACGCCAAACACCAGTGTCACACTCCACACAGGTCCACGTCACACATCAGTGTCATTCTCCACACACGTCCACGCCAAACACCAGTGTCACACTCCACACAGGTCCACGTCACACATCAGTGTCATTCTCCACACACGTCCACGCCAAACACCAGTGTCACACTCCACACAGGTCCACGTCACACATCAGTGTCATTCTCCACACACGTCCACGCCAAACACCAGTGTCACACTCCACACAGGTCCACGTCACACATCAGTGTCATTCTCCACACACGTCCACGCCAAACACCAGTGTCACACTCCACACACGTCCACGCCAAACATCAGTGTCACACTCCACACACGTCCACACCACACATCTGTCACACTCCACACACGTCCACACCACACATCTGTGTCACACTCCACATCCGTCCACGCCACACATCTGTCACACTCCACACACGTCCACGTCACACATCTGTGTCACACTCCACATACGTCCATGCCACACATCTGTCACACTCCACACACATCCACATCACACATCTGTGTCACACTCCACATACATCCATGCCACACATCTGTGTCACACTCCACACATGTCCATGCCACACATCTGTCACACTCCACACACATCCACATCACACATCTGTGTCACACTCCACATACGTCCACGCCACACATCTGTGTCACCCTCCACATACGTCCACGCCACACATCTGTGTCACCCTCCACATACGTCCACGCCACACATCTGTGTCACCCTCCACATACGTCCACGCCACACATCTGTGTCACCCTCCACATACGTCCACGCCACACATCTGTGTCACCCTCCACATACGTCCACGCCACACATCTGTGTCACCCTCCACATACGTCCATGCCACACATCTGTGTCACACTCCACATACGTCCATGCCACACATCTGTGTCACACTCCACACACGTCCACGCCACACATCTGTGTCACACTCCACATACGTCCACGCCAAACATCAGTGTAATCCACATATGTCCACGCCACACATCGGTGTCACACTCCACGTGACACGCTCGTTTCATAGATCTGTGTCACATGCCACATCACACACCCACATCATACATCCACACAACTCTCCACGTCACATGTCCATGTCATACACCTGTGTCACATGCGTCACATGCCTATGTCACACCTCTACATCACTCTTGACGCCACACGCCCACAAGTCCACACCACACGCCCACACTCCCCAACACGCTTGGCCGTCAGCCTCAGCCTCAGCCTCGGGACCTCACCTCCGCCTGCTCCGTGTCGCTCCTCAGCACCACGCGCTTGATGACCTTGGAGTAGGCGTCCGCGTCCGCGAGGCTGACAGGCTCCTGGGGCTGCCCCTGCACGGTGACCTCCTCCCGCTCGGTGCCATCCGAGGACACGAACCGCCGGATGACCTTCCTGGTGACCTGGGGGGACGGCACCCTGAGTCTTGTCCTGGAGCCACAGGACGGGGCCTGGGGGGGGGGACGTACCTTCTTCACCACCGTGTGCCCGTGCTCGTCCACGTATGTCTCCTCCGTGACCGTTTCTGGGGGCAAGTCAGGCACGTCGTCTCCCTGCAGAGACAGGCCCACATCAGCGGTGGCCCTGGCGGGGGGCACCAGCTCCCAGGCCAGAGGGCACGTGTGTTAGCCAGTTAGCGGAGGCAGAGAAGTGTTACTGCGGGGCCAGGCCACGACACAGAGGTTTGCAGAGAGAAAAGTAGGTGCCGCCATGCCCGGGGGAGCTCCGACCAACGTCAGCTCAACACGCAGACACATGGACAGAGACGGCACACGGGCGCGGAGGGCGGGCTGCAGACGTCTCAGCGCCCCCGTGTTGCCCGGGAGCAGCCACGCGCATTCCTCAGCAACAGCACTCGGACTGCCCGTGGCTGCTCCCTAAGCTGCCAGCGCATGCAGCCCGCTGCCCTGGGCCGCCGTGTGCGGTCACTGTCCCAGACGTGCGGCCTGAGCAGCTGGTACCTGAATGATCACCCGCCGGCGGACAACCCTGGTGGTGACCAGCGCCTCCTCATCGGAGCTGGCTTCCAGCTCGCCCAGCTCGGCCGTGAGCTCCTGCAAGCGGAGGCGGGTGTTATGGCGCCGGGGGAGGCCTTTGACACAGGCCCGGCGTGAGCTCACGCGTGCTCCTGGAGGTCTGTTCACTGCGCTCTGGGGCTGCGCCAACAGGGCACAAAGAGCTGCACACGAGGCTCGGGCTTCACAGAGAGCATGGCTTCCTGTGCAGCGGGCGAAAAGGAACCCTGGCATCCAGTCTGACCGAGCCCCTGGCCAGGACCTGCGGTGAAACCAGTGCTTCTCACCTGCCGGGACTCTCGCTCCTGCTACACACAGGTGGGGGCACAGACCCGCCCCCGCCCCCTGCCCGCTCTCGGGCTGCGGCTGGAGTGCCTGCCCTTGGTCTCGCCGTGTCTACTGCTGGTGAAGATGCTCCCATGGACCCGGTTCCCTGCGCCTCGTCCAGGCAGGAATGCGCCTGCGGGGCCTGGGGTGTCACACTCACTCGCAGAGTCCAGCCAGGACGGAGCCAGACGTGACCTCAGATTACAACATACGTCCTGGGAGCCACACGCAAAATCTCTCCCTGTGGAAGGTTTCTCAAGGAGAAAGAAAACAGCTACATGCCCCCACATACTTTAAAATGCCACTGGTATTTCTAGACTCCTTTCTGCTGCAGAAAAAGACCTCAAATCTAGACCAAGTTATACACTGAAAACGCTCAGGAACCTGTTGCCTAGAAACCGGGCTGGCAGGAACCCACAGACATTCTATCCTCAGAGAAGGGTCCTGAGGGGTCAGGGTCGTGAGAGGTCAGGGTCAAAATCAGAAGCAGAGCACACGGGGGGGGGGCCTCCCCAAGAATATGGGGCCGGGGCCTGAGTAAATGGGCAGGCACGGAGTGACGTGCCAGAATGTGTTTATGTGCAGAGAACGGACTAAATGCAGGGATTTACCAGATGACTGTTCCAAGTCTAGACTTCAATTAGCTTATGTATTCTTAGGCTCAATTTGGCAACTTTTAAGCCCAGGCATCACCTATGAGTTCTTTTACTAGAACTGACCTCAGCCAACTCTAGTGAGATGAGCAATTCTCTACAGAGGCCGACATAGAATAAAGACCCTTGTGGGCTGAACTCATTATTTTGTAACTGCAGAAACGAGGCTTCTCATGCCAGCTACACTCTTCGATGGCTGCTGCTGACAGATGTCACCCTCATCCTATCCTATATAATAAAACCCTAATATGCAAATCAACCGGTGGAATGACCGGTCGCTATGACACGCACTGACCACCAGGGGGCAGACGCTCAAGCCATCCCTACACCCACACCTCGGGATCACAGCTGACGAGCGCAGCAGAGGTGGCAGGAGCCTTTCCTGCCTGCGAAACAGCGCTAAGGACCCCTCGGGGGTCCCGGACTGCGAGAGGGCATAGGCCGGGCTGAGGGACTCCCCCCACCCCAGTGTATGAATGTCATGCACCAGGCCTCTAGTAGTAAAATAAACCAATAAATGCAGCTCTTCAGCCCAAAGATATGTTGAATTATTACCTTTCCCCCCAAAAGTTTTAATTCTTTCTTCTAACTCATTCTTTCTCACTAAGACAGGCATGGATCCTTTAAAAACACTTTGACATATAGAATGTTTTTGAATTCTAAAAGGAGAAACAACACCTAATTTAATTTGCATTCAATTAAATTGAATTCAAACAGATTCACACTTTGTGTAGGAGAACGCCTACGCCTACTACGTTGTTGCTGAAAATGGAGCTTCTCCCTCTGCCCCCCAAGTTCAGGATCCTGTGGGGAGGGATGCCAGGGAGCAGTGAGGGGTAGGAGCCATTCAGACCTCATGTGGGGAATAAACGGTTTATGTGAATTCCTATGGGTCTCCACTCCCCGCTCCGAGGGGAAGGGACGCAGCTCCATCTCACGTGTGACATCTGGCAGCAGCAATGCATGCGGGTGGGAAGCCCCTTTGCCAAGCCATCCCTACACCCACCCCCCGGGCCCAGCCTGTCCCGCACCTGTCACAGCGGGTCCCAGGCCGCTAAATGTGAAAAGCCACCTCAGGATGTGGTTTCGGCTGGTGGTCATTTTTCTCAGCAAAACGGTTTCCAGTGATAAAATGTGGGCGTATGTGAAGTGGCGAGAATGGCACCCAGGCCATGGGTTCTACTCACTGGAGCCCCGACTTAAAAAGGATGGAGGTGCACACGGTCCAGGCTCCCTCACCCGGTGGCTGTGCAGGGAGCACATCAGCCTCAGGGAACAGCTGGGAGAGGCTGTCCACGTGGCGGGAAGGGCAGAGGGCTCCTCACCTTCTGAAACGCCGAGTCTGCATCGAGGCTCTCGAAGGCCGGTGGCTGCTCATCGGCCGACTCCACGATCACTAGGCTGTTCCTCCTCGGAGAGCTGGCCTCCCTGAACTCCTCGGGCTCCTGCACGAGGGGCGAGTCCGCCCGCTCCCGGGGCGGCGGGGCCGG